AATTTTTAAATTTGGGTTCCTTCCCCCCCAAAGATGCGGGGGGGGGAATTTGGGGTGTAAAAGTTCCCCCCATCTTAAAGTTGACAAGGTTAAGAAACATTGAACTAGGATATACGAAGGGTCATTTTGTTAACTGTTCTATTTATGCAGAGGGTTTTTCTTCCTTCTTTCACCAAATCCAGAATGATATTATTTGAATTCATTTGACTCTTTATATATCCTCCTTTGCTTAATTATCAGGATGGTTTTCTCTTGGGCAGGGAGACTTTTTGATAAATGCGACTAAATAGGAAGGGAGTTATTTCACTGTTTCAAGCATTATTTTGTAAGATGTTCTGGAATACAGATTCCATTCTGGGTCAGATCTTGATATAGATGGTGGTTCTTGTTTTTCAGATAGTATCCTTTGCCAGGTTTTCATATTCCATGGAACAGTCCACAAGTGATGAATGTTTACACATAATTTTTAATTTATTCTATTTAGTTTTATAACTACTTATATTCTTATCAATATTCAGTATCCATTTTTATCTTTGGAGACAATGCTGCATAAATTTGGGTACAAACATTATTAAGGAAGATGTCCTAAAACAGAATTTCATACGTTGGTATAAAAATTCAGAAAAAAAATCAGTCCGAATCTTATCATCTGTTCAGGAGATTCCTCTTTGTTGGTTATATATAGCAGTTTAATCTTCCTTTCCAAATGTTAGTCTTTAATGCTAATTCCAGCCATGTAGATACCTTCTGTATCTATTCATTCATCTATACATGCAGGACCTGATGTGTACATATGAGCAATTACTTTAGAAACAATTACTGCCATGAATGAAGATCCAAAACTTTCACAGAAGCCTATTTAATAATCCAGATGCTTCCTATCACTTTTAAATTAGATAAATCTATGAATATCACACTTTCTGCAAATGTTATTCAGCTTAGAGAATAAAGGACGATGATTTGGAAGACACATTGTTTCTCCCTTGCCCAACATCAGGATGAAGCAGGAAAAAAAGGTAGCAACAACACTGTTCAGTTTCTTATTTGCATTGATATATATGTGGTCCAAATATTATTGCAATAATCAAAATAGCATGAATCCTACCCTTAATTCACAGTCTTCATTTACAGCTAAGTTACTGGGCTTCAGGTCCTGAATCAGAATGAAAAGACTATTAAAACAGGGCTAAATTTAAGATGATGAAACCAGTCACTGCAGATGTATACAAAGCATTCTATCAGTGATTGAAACTTACCCGGTGAATGATTCCAGCAGAATGGATATACTGCAACATCAAAAGAAAACAGGTAAGGTCAAAACCAGAAATCAAATGCAGTTGGATGAACATGATTATCAGAAACCACTTGCTCTGACTCATATATTTCTACAAAGTAAAGATTCAGGTTAGCCTGCATTTATTTCCATGCTACAAGCTCACAGTGATGAATCATACAAGGATTTTGGTTACATTTTAAACAGCATTTTAAAGCGCAACCAGTGTCAGATATGAAACTTCACCACTCTTTGCAATTCAGTCTAAGGGTCTTGGGAATAAAGATTGCCAGTTAGAAAACTGTCTCTTCGTGGAAGACAGTAATGAGAGAAAGAGCGAGAGTAAATTTTTCCGCTAGTTTCAAAAACTGAGCTACTTCAATTCTCCTCTCCACCCTAGATACAAAAGATCCTGAATTCTGGCTGGTAGACACATTTTCATTCCTACTCCTTTAGTCAAAAGGCATGGAACTTCGAAGTCTGCTAAGTTCAAAACTCTGCTATGTATAAATCTGCATATTCTGTGTCTTGTAAAAAAATACTTATCTGTTTCTGGAAAGCAAGAATACCATAGCATCACCATGGGTACAGACACTGATTATGTGGGTGTCTGTGGGTGTCCATACAGAGGATATATATGGATTTCCCAATTGTTTCAGGAAAGCAAAAGCATCTTTTGTCCCCAGACAATTTGTTGGGGTCCTGCAGAAGCAAACTCTTTGTTCAGGTATTAAAACTTGCAAGCATAGAATATTTCTCCCTCTCTATGTACCTCTAAATTTTCCTTTGGGTCCCTTTCAAATACTCAGTTCTATGATTCTTAATTCCACTGGATAGCCATAACTAACCTCCAAGTATCGGATTCAAAAAGATTGATGTCTAAGTTGTCTAAACATTAGAGTGTTAATGATCCTTAGTCAATACTGTACAATACAAATGCCATTGTACCTAAATAATGTATGATGTATGTTTTACAACAATATACTAAAAAGAAAGGGAAAAAAGATTGATTTCCGAGTCAAAATATGACTCAATACATAACCAGATACAAAAGTGCCTTCTCTGTCATGGCACCTGCCTTATGAAACAACTTCCCCACAGAGATATGGATGGTCCTGATTCTGTGGGCCTTCAGGAAAGTGGTGAAGACCTGGCTTTTCCCCCAGGTACTGGGGCCAGGTTGCTGATGGAGCTGGCATGCTGGTTGATAGATGAACATGAGTTTTACTGGGGCCTCAACTTTATTTATTGTTTATTGTATTAAATGGCTTTTTTGTTTTTAGTATATTGTGTTTTTAGTCTGTTTCCTGCCAAGAATTCCTTCTGGTAGATGGGCGGTTTTATAAGTTTGTTTAATTGATTGATTGGTTGGTTGATTGATAAAGTAACACTGAAATGGCAGGCTTTGCATTCAAAATCTTTCCAAATTGAATCATTAACCCTGACACAAAATCTGCAAGGAGAAGCATTGTAGTCTAATTGATTTAATTTTGTAAACCAAAAATAAATAAGCAGCCCTCCCTTTAAATAAAAAACATGAAATATTTGATTCAACAATTCTTACTATAAGGAGGATCTTATAAGAAGGATAAGGAGGATCTCAACTAAGTACTGTAAATGAGACTATTAATTCACTGGGTGTCAGCTTACACACTTGAGTTAAAATTCACTAATTGAAAGATATATTTTCAGTTCCTTTCCAAAAAAAAAAAATCTTTAAAAAACCCTATACATAAATCTAAACAATTGTTCTTACCAGCATTACAATTCTGTATTTTGAATCATGGAAAGGTATCTGTTCAGGGAACAGCAGCCACCACTAATCAGGAAGTGCAATTTTAAAGAATGTTATTTTGCCAAAACAGCTCCATTTTGCTACAAGATTGGGCTAGAAGCACACCTGAGGATATATGAACTTTCTAGAATAATTGCTCTCATCTTCCCAATAATAGATCTCCAAAGATCCAGACAGATGGATCCTGGTTATACACTTTTCTTGACAGAGTAAAGGGAACAGGTTCTTGTGGTGAAAATAGCCTCCATTTTATAATGTCTTGCTCAACAAATTAACCCACTACCATTGGTAAATTTTGGCCACACAGTATATATTATCCAAACTCAACATGCCCACAATCTCAACACTAGGGATATGCAAAATGTTTCACGCATGGTATAGCTAGTTCCAAGTAGTCTGTTTTTGGAACGAAATATATGTTTGGTCTGGACGTGGGACCAAAACATGAATATTCCAGGAAGAGATATTTTGGGGCAAAGCCAAGAATATTGGCAGTATTAGTCAACCTGTTTCTCCTGATCATTCAGGGTCCTTGCCTTCCTTACCCAACCTGCAGCTTCCTCAAGGGGGGTAGGGAAAGGAAGGCTCTGGAAAGATCAGGGAAGTGGTCTACTTGATTCTGAGGACATCACAGTGGCTAACAGAAAATAAGGAACAGGTGGCATCAGGAAGATTACTGGATAGCTCAACACATAGGCCACATGGAAGAAAGGGATCAAGGATGCTAGTCTTGCCCTACTCACCCTGTAAGACTCTCTCTGGATATTATTTCAGCAAAACCCCAGAACCACCAATATATTCCAGGTTGGGTTCTGCCAAATCACAGCCCTCTCATAACGTTCATAGAATTTCTGGGACACAATAACCCTATTTTCCCTTTTTTGCACATTCCTGTTCAGGGTGGTAAAAACCTCTTTATAGATCTTGATGGATGGAAGCAAGAATGAGACTATCAAGTTTTCTGTTACTGACGCCATTGTCCAAAAGTTACCGATATACATTTGAATTGCATTTGTTACACTGTAATTTTGATTATAAAAATACCAGCAGATATAGAGCTGCAATATTTAATTATGAATCAGTCAGTTCTATAACCATAGGACTAAAATCACTGTTAATTTATTGCAGCAAAAAAGAAAAAAAAAAACAATGACTCCTGTGGCCATTTAAAACTGATTTCTTATGGCGTGAACTTTCATGGACAACAATCTCCTCCATGTAATGCATGATGGGCTATCCTGAATTACACTAAAATTCATTTGATACTTGGTTATGTCTTTTTTTTAATGATTTACAGCACTTGCCCAAACAAATACAGGCAGTCCTTGCTTAGTGACTGCCCTGTTTAGTGACCATATGAAGTTATGATGGCACTGTATGAGTGACATTAGGACGAGTCCTTGCATTTATGACCATTGCAGCTCCCCACAGTCACATGATCAAGATTCAGACACTTTGCAACTGGCAGGCATTTATGATCGTTGCAGTGCCCACAGTCACATGATCAACATCTGCATGCTTCACAACTGGGTTTCAACAGAGTCAACAGAGAAGCCAGTGGTAAAATCGCAAGTCGTGGTCACATGATGTCTTGCTTAATGACCCATGGTGTTTCACTTAACAACTATGGCAGAAGTGAGGTCATAAGCACATCATGGTCACATATTTGACTTAATGACTGCATCACTTAGCGATGGAGTTGCTGCTCCCAATTGTGGTCACTAAGCGAGGACTACCTGTAAACCAATCAATAAGGTAGCACAAACTTGACCAAGAGAAAAGTTACAGACTTACTGAGACCATCTATTTAACCACTCTTTTACTTCAGCTTTATGAAACACTCTCCCACTGGAGGTACAAATGGCTCCTACTCTACAGGCATCTTCAAAAATTAGTCAGCAAGCATTTAGCCCTTAGTTTAGTTTCCCTGAAGGGTATGTATGATGTGTAAAATTCTAACTGATGATTTTTATTATTTGTATCTGAACTTTATTGTCTTGCTTTTGCTTTGACTATGTGGTGCCCTGCCTCAAGTCTTTCTGGATTGGGGTGGACTACAAATATTATTAAACAAGTAATTAAATAAATAAAATACCCCCATGGCTTTACCTTTAGTCCTCGAAGTAACTGATATATAAGAAACTGTATATGGTCATCTGTCAATTTCTGACACTTCACTATATTATTCAGGTCAGCACCCATTAAATTTGTGACAAGATACCTGCAAATCAAAATCAAGATTATGAAGACATTTACAGTACAATTTTTTGTCAGTTCCAAAGTAAGCCCCACTGAGTTCATAGTCTTGTTTTTTTTTTCAAATTACAGCCTTAATGGTTTTATAGATTCAATCATTTTTCAACCTTAATTGTTTTTAAAGTTGCTTTAAAAAGTTTACTAAACTGTATTATATTATTTCACTAGTACAACTTAAATTTCTAGGCTGTGGATCTCACAGCTATTTGATACAGCTCGGGGCCTGACTAATGGCCAAATCTGAAATCTTAATTGATAGAGAGAAGGAACTTAGGGGTAACTAAGCACAACTGTCAGATCAGATTCAGTGGTTCACTTCTGATGAAAAGAAGATTTTCCCTTGTGAGAAGGAAACTTTTGGATCCAGTGCATGGATTTTGGTGGAAGTTTGAGCCAACAGAAAGAATACAGGAAATGGACAAAAGCAAAAGTTGGTGCAGATTCCCTACCTCCCAAGGAAGAGCTTCAGAGACCAAAGGTTATCTCAGAGCACATATCTAGGACTCCAACTCCTATCTATCCTAGTATTCAAGATAGTGGTCAGATATGATGGGAATTAGAGTCCAAAAATATCTGGTTAGACAAAGATTTCCCACTGCTCGTACAGGGAAACATTGGAAAATAAACATTAGGTCATCCAGGAGAATAAAATGTCAAGATAATATTTATTTATTAATGCAGGCAAGGGATTACTAATCAATACCTATCTATCTATCTATCTATCTATCTATCATTACTAATCAATACTCTAGTTATATACTCTGTATATAATACAGACTATGGATTCTTAATGACTATTTCCCAACCTTGGTTCAGAAAAAAATCAGTATAATATATCCTACTGCAAGTAGTTCATTGCTTGGGTTAAGTATGTCCAACAAATGGAGGATTCTGCTCTGAGACTCAAATGAACAGACCATTTATATTTCTATGGGGCCTCTCAATTCATACTAAAGGATCTTCCACACATGGCATCTGCACAGATCCAACTTCATCATCATGCCACTACAACATTGTCCTCCTTAAGCTGCCAACTGTATGTTGTACCGGCTTGGCTGCAGCAGTACTTAAACTGTACAATTTCCACTTTGAAGTCTGCAATGCTGTAGGTCTACAGGTTTAGGATACAAATATTTTCTCATTCATAGGAATTCTTGCCTTCCCCTATTTAACATAGGAGTTTGCTAGTAGACAATCTTTCATTAGACAATCTTTCAGGCAAGCCCCATCTTAAAGCTTCTAGTCAGTTTCTAGTCAATTTCACAATCCCTGTTTAAAAAAAAAAAATTGCCTGGCTTCCCCCACTCCCCCCCTCCCCCTCCCTGCCTGCTTATGTAAGTACCACACACCAAACTCTTGCCTCCCATCCCACTCCAGTTTCTGGGCTCAAAAAAGCCCTTGTTCTCTCTCCACTTCCACCTAATATAGTGAATCTACAATCCAACATATAACTGTGATTACCCCTGTTGGGAAAATCTAACAGTAAAACCATAGTATCATGCCCTCACCATAGTTTTGGAATGACATCTTGCTGGTCAGTCGGCTTTCCTTTCATACTAATGGCTCAGACTTTTTCAAAATTGTCAAATGCATACTTTTCACTGAAAACACTGGAGGCACAAGGACATGTGTGTGTGTGTAGCAACAAAAAGAGGTTTTTTGGTTTTTGGTTTTTTTAACTCCAGGAGTTGCTAGTTTGCAATGGGTGGGACACTGAATGAATTACAAACTTTGCATTCTCCCATTGGATTCTCAGCACTCTGAGGCCAGCAGGACTGAAATCAGTTGCAGACCCAGCTTCAAAATGCTTTATGGGGATTGAGGAGTGCAACCAATATCTACACAGACATGTCTAAAGTAATCTATTTTCCTTTTAGGTTACTACAGTTTTGTAATATTTCCCAGAGGGTTAACCAGGTTGGTTTTCTGGGGCAAAAACAAGTCTTGTAGCATGCTAAAAAGTAATCAATTAACAAAAGGTAATTGATAATAAAGTGGTTAGTTACTAAGAAACTAAGATTTTGTTGCTTTTTTTCTTAAGCATCTTAAATGCATTTGATACTCCTTAAAAACATTTCAAATTACCACCCTTACAAAAGGAGATTAAACGAAAAGATCATTCATTTTACAACATCCTACTCCCAGTGGCAAGCCAAAACCCCTTTTAACTTTCTTAATATCAAAAAACTGTATTCTGATAGATGTACTTCATCACATTTAAGTATTCTAAGATCTGAACGATGCAACAGAAAAAGTTTGCCACATGCTTCACTATATCACTGAAATTAATTCTACTTATAAATGTTTGATTTTGGCTATGTAATGCCAATACTACTTATCCTAATAGCTTGCCAACTATAAATTTTTATTTCAAACTTTACTTACACTTCATTAAAGTTTTCTATTGATGCTGCAGGTGTAAAAACATCTAGTAATCCTATAACCTGAAACAGAAAAGAGGAATTTCTATTTTATCTAGTGAAGTGCATGAGATACAGCAAGATTTTATGCTCAGTACTTGTAGGTTTTTAGACAAAGACAATGGAGACTAGAAATGGAGCTTTGGCATACTTTAATCAATAATACCACTTGCATGTAACTACTGAATTCTGTGTCTGCTAAAAGTGCAATTGTACTAACAGGTTAATTAGGATTTGATTTTTCTTCTTCTCATAGCTCAGATCCAAGTTGCTCTGATCTTTGGAACATGTTTTTAAGAAGTATTTGCCTGCAAAACTCAATTCTGTTCATTACTATGTCTACCTACGTCTCCTACCATGCTTCAAATAATCCATTTTTCCTTTACTTTAAAAAAAAAAAGCATTTAAAAATAGAGTGCAAGATGTCAAAATGCAGCTTTGTAGGGAAGGATAAAGAAACATACTATCACTGGTTTCTACCCAGCCAGCATTGCGGATACTTTTACTGTAGAAATGTGTACTTGGGTCCTCCCGGTTGATTTGGGAAGACTGAACTTAGAAACAAATTATGTCACTCTACTTCTACATCACACTCTATGCCCAAATTAACATTTATTCTGGTTTGTCCCTCTAATTTGCAGTAAAACTATGATATGTATACACCATCCTGGCTTTTCAAGATTGGAGGGAATAGGCAAATTTTATTTGGGATGCTGAAAAAGCAGGTGTGAAAGGACCCAAAGAGAGAATGGAATGCGTGAGAACCACCCTTTTTGGAATTATCAGGGCTATTATAACTCAACTCACTCTGTACTCTATACTTACTACAAAGCAAACTCAGCCTTTTCTTAAGAAGGAAACTTAATGAAATAAAACCTTTCCGCTAATTCCTACCTGTCAGTTAGGCTATTTGATCTTACATTATACTGATTTTAGAATATAAACGGTTAGTAGTTTATGTTAATCGTGTTAAAAAATAGTTCTACATTGCTGGTAAATGCTTTTTTTTTTTCTGCATTTGTACTCCAAACTTCAGCCTTCACCGGAACATTGGATATAATTCAGCCTTTACTGCATTTATTTTGTAGCAACAGCATTAAAAAAATATCTTCAATACTATGGCTGTAAACTGCCCAAGATAATTAGGACTACCATTTTGGAGAAGAAAAGGTTGAAGACAAATTGCAGTATTTCCTTAGTTATTCAGTACTCTTCATTCACCAATATTCCAGTCTTCTTAAAATGAGCACTAAAAGGGTACCTGAATCAAATTGCTCAGACCTGTTAAAGCCTGCCTCTATCAGAACTACAAACCTGATCTTCACTTGAATATAAGGTTAACTTAGGAGACCCAAGAATCTAACAAGGGTTTGAGTGCTGCATAAAATACAAAACTAAGTTATTCTTCAATATGAATGTGGGATTTTCTGATTGCTGCTTCAGTAAAACCAAACAAAAGACAAATTACCATTTCCACTGGAGGTTTACATAACACAGTCTTTCCACTCACATTTTCATGTTTCATGTGCTTGAGTAATCTAAGCTCCCGATACGTCCTTCTAGCATGAATAAGGGACTGGAAAGGTCTTGAAAGCTTTTTGACTGCCACCTTCTGCCTTGTCTTGGTATCATATGCTGAACTGAAACAAAATCAATATATATACTTTTTAAAAATAATCTCAAATTTTTCACCTATTTTCACATTTCAAACTTATACCCGCAATTTATTTTAGTTCTATTTTCAAATTCATTCGCTTATGATTGTTCATTCATTTCATGAAAAAATTCTGCCTTATGAGGACTTAACTTTATTGTGCACATCATTTAACACTGAACATTAGACACCCATCTATATAATCATGGTACTGAACTAGCAACGAAGCTGCAATTTTTAAAGACAATATGCCTTTCTATCAATTTGCCTCAAACACATAGGAAGTCAATTTCCCAGAACTCCTCTGGATCCCTTTCCACCTTCCAGTCCTATGGCACTAGAGTTAATTTGAGTAACAAGTTACATATTTTTATTAAGAGATCAGCAATTTCAGTTTAACAGCAGATGCATCAGAACCTAGTGATTGGTTACAGTGCATTCTGTCAAGGTATCATGAAATAGCTTGTCTTGTTACCTCAATTTGCTTTGTTTCTTTTTCCTCCCTGAGAACAGAATACCTACCCTGTATCCTATACAGCAAAGATAGAGGCAAAGAACTCATTCAAGTTCTCTGCAGTATTCATATCCTCCTCAAACATTTGTTTCGCTTCTTTATCCTCCAATAGCCCAACTGTTCTGTTGCTCATTTGCTGTTTCAAATATATTTAAAGAAATTATTCTTGTTTCCTTTAATAGTTTTTGCCATATGTTCTTCAAATATTATTTTTGTAGTCCTTATTATCACTTACATTTGGGGGGACGGGTGTTGCCCAGAGCTTGGGCTCCTTTTCCTTACAATTTTTCCATATCTGGAAGGATGACTTCTTAACTATTATGGCTTCCCAGATGCTACTAGAAAGCCACGTTGGCCTTTTCCTCTATTTGGTCTATCTGTTCTTCCACTGTGGAATACAGTCTAGCAGAGGATCAGTTACTATGGTTTTAAATAACCTTTGGGCACTAGGAAGTGATATAATCTCCTCGCTTTTCTTTTCAGTGACTTTTTTCATCAGCCCTCTCATTTTTGAAACCCTTCTCCTGCTGACAGTGTTGGACCTTACTAGCAGTTTTTCATCTGTGTAGATGCTAAATGTAAGAGCATTAGGGCCACTGTTTCCAACTGGTTCTACAGCAGTTACATCTCATAGCAGATCAGGAAACCACTTAGAATTAAGTGTAGAGTTGCCTCCCTCTAACTGGTTCCAAGACTATTCTAAGGCACTTTTTTTTTCTTCTTAGCATTTTCCCGCAGGTGCAGGGCCCACTTTTTTGGGATCAACCAAATGTTGATCCATTGGTTGTGACAGGTGACCAACTGGCTTGTTGCCCAAGCCTGATGTTGTGGGCTAAGAGAGAGTGACTGGCCCAAAGTCACCCAGCTGGCTTTCATGCCTAAGGAGGGACTAGAATTCACAGTCTCCTGGTCTTAACCACTAGACCAAACAGCCTCTCGCTCTAAGGCACAATCATTTACAGTCTGGTTTCTTTGTCATGACCCCAGCATGAACGTACCCAATCTATCCAAAGATAATTGAAGTCTCCGATTATTACAATTACTTCTTCTCTGCATGCATTCCTAATTTCTTGCATTCTCTCAGGATCAACCATAATATTTTATCACAGGAATCTGATCTTCCAATGCTTTCTTGAGCAACATCTCTCCCAGCTCATCCTTCCCTGTCCGTATTCAGGACAAATCTGTATTCAGGATTGACTGTCTCCTACTATTCTCTCCATTTCACTGGGGTTCTATGTTCTTGTTCACAACCAAGTACTATTACTGCTGCTGCTGCTATTATTATTAAAATTTATTATGGCCACCCATTCCAGCACTCTTCTTCCATTCTGGCTGAGAGATTTCCAAATGTTATTGGTGTGAGCCTTATTCCACATGCTTTGTCTCTTCTTTCACCACTGCCATGACTACCTATTAATTCATTTCCTACTTCCACTGCATGTCCTAAAATATCTACACTTTCTGAACACGTTGCTGCCCAGCACCTGCTGGATTTCTCCTACAGATCAATTTAAAAGCTGTCCTTTCACCTTTTTGATTTATGGGCCAGCATCCTGGTTCCATCACACTTCAAGGGGAGCCCAACTCTCTTATACAGGTTCAACTTCTCCGAAAATATTCTCCAACAACGCATGACTCTAAACCTCTCTGTAGTATTCCTTAAAAAATTACCTCAGGAGTTCTATATTTCAAGCTGTTACTTAGCAATCTAAATAGATAGACTGATGGATAGATAATATTTATTTCTGTCAGTGACCAGACAAAACAGAACATATATAAACTAAATACAGCAATGAAGGGAAAAAAACAAAAACAAATAACCATCCACCTAGCCATCAGAAGTTGAAAAGGTGATTATTTGTATAAATGTACTCTGAATTGTGATAATCCAAAATATTAAAGTAATTACTGAATGAGGTACTTAGCAATCTAAATTTGTCTTCCAGGACTAGCTGACTACATTTTCCAATGTCACTGGGACTAACATGGACCACAAACACTACCTCTTCCCCAGCACTATCTAAAGCTGATCCAGATGGCACAGGATATCTGCAAACTTTGTAAGAGGTAGGCAGATCAGCATACCATCCACCCATCTGTCACAAACCCTCATCATCTATATGCATCTTGTCCTCATGAGAAACTTATATACAGATCAGGAAGCCACAGTATGGACAAAACAAGATGAAACAGACTGGCTCTTGATTGGCAAAGGAATGCGACAATCCCCTTATTTATTCAACCTATATGTTAAATATATTTTAAGGGAAGATGGATGAGCATGGTTTTAAAACTGGAAAAAGAAATATCAGTAATCTGAGCTATGCTGATAACACTACCCTGATAGCCAAAAACACAAAGGAACTGCAAGCTCTAGTAATAACAATTAAAGAGCGCACTGAAAAAAAATGGGACTAAAATTTATTATAAAGAAGACCAAGACAATGACAACAGGCAGACCAACCAGCCTTAGACTTGGCAATGAAGATATTGAGGTGGTGGATAGCTTCAGTCTTTTAGGATGAACCATCAACAGTAAAGGAACAAGCAGTCAAGGAATATGCTTCAGATTAGTACCTGATAGAGCAACCATGAAGGCCTTGGGAAAGATATTCAGATGTCGTGGTGTGTCTATTCCTACAAAGATCAGAACTGTACAAGCCATGGTATTCCCTGTGACACTCTGTGGAAGCAAAGTTGGACTCTGAAGAAGCAGGATAGGAAGAGTATTGATGCTTTTGAACTTTGGTATTGGAGAAGACTTCTGAGAATACCATGGACAGCCAAGAAAACAAATGGATCGTCAAACAAATCAATCCAGAGTTCTCACTTGCACAAATTACTAGGCTCATATGATCCTACTTCAGACACATTATGCAAAGACCTAGCTCTCTGAAAAAGGCTCTAATGCTGGGAGAAGTAGAAGGAAAGAGGAGAAGTGGATAACCAGCAGCAAGGTGGGTGGACTCGGTTACAATGGCATTGAGTGCACTATTGGAAGACGTGAAAGACCAGGTGAGGGATACACTGTCATGGAGAAAATCTATCTATGTGGTTGCTAGGAGTTGAAAGTGACTTGATGGCACATAATCAATCAATAAAAGCTGTACAAGGCAAACATAAACTTAACTCCTTATGCAGGAAAAGGCAACCACTTGAATGTAGCCAGAGGATCCCTTGCAGAACCAGACAGCCACTAGCTCATATAGGGGCAACAGCAAGTCTTCATAAGTATTTCCTGAATTGATCTTGCAGGAACAAAACACCTAAAGAAAAAAATTGCATTGGTCCCAGATTCTCCTGTTCAGATTGCAGTTTCACAGAACTGTCCTGAATACCTGAATTAAAGCCTACATGTTTCTGATACATGAAGCTTAGTTATGCTTTCTTTTGGGGCAGGAGGGAACTGTCTCAAGTTTTATCTTTAATTATTCTGTAACAACAACCTTTGACAGATTACAAATTTGTACTTTTTATAATAACAACCCAAAGATTATCCCCAGGTAATACCTCTTTCCCATCTGCCATGACAAATATCCACAGAATCAGCCTCATTAATTTGGCTTCCTATCTTCAATGTCTCCAAGACAAGGTTGCCTTGGGAGCATTAAGATCTGAATTCTGGGCCCCTGGTGACAGATTGGAGCCTCTATTCATTAGAGAGTCTGCCACCCTGTCTAGGTATATCAAATGCTAATTATGCCTGCCAAATATTGGTATGCTGTAATGTAATCTTCTAATGTACATCATTAATTAAAATCTACCAATTTACAATGCCATAAAAGATTGCTTCAGGCGCCACTGGCAGTAAACAAGCTTTCAGTATAACTGCACAAGGCTTTGATCATTTAAGTTAAGCTTGGGTAATTCAGAATCTGTCTTTCTTCTTTGCAAACAATAATTGCCACTGTCATAGCCCAATGCAATCCAAAAGCAAAACAATCAAAACTAAGAATTCTGGTCCCGTGTATATTTGCTCCATCTAAGCAACCTGTCATGCTCAGAACTCAACTACAGATGTTGTACCAAATGTTACATATCTTAGCAGAGACTGGTATTTTAAAATTTGAATATTTTAAGCTCTCTTTCTAAATAAATATTGCTATCCCACCTAGTAAAGGGTTTGTAAGTGTTGAACGCTGAGATTTAATGAACCATTGCATAGAGTAACTTATCCAACTGATGCAGATATCCAGAATTCTATGCTGGAAAGTATATAGGATTGCATGCAGGTGAGTGAGTGTGCTGCCAAAAAAGAAATAGGTAGTTCCTTCATATCAGCCTGCTCAGCTTCCCAGTAGATGCAAAGTAAGAACCTTCCTTAACAATCAGGATGAAAACACAGTGAGCTGATGGATCTTTTTATATTTTTTATAATTGAGATAGAACACACATGTACACACACACAAAAACAAAGAGAAGCTAGGCTGATATAAATAGGGAAGCAGTAAAGCATTTCAAATCCAAAA